AACATTTTTCATTGTTTCCGCATCTCCTACGACTTATACACGTTATAAACCCCTATAAATATTTAAAGAGACACGACAGCTAAAGTTTAGAGCTTAGGTGAGAGAGACTGTTGAGAGAGTAGGAGAAATAAATACAATTTACTTTAGTTTGGTTTAGTTTCCTTTAGTTTGCTCACAACATCAACAATGAAATATTTTACTTTATAGATTTTGTTTGAGGGACTTTTGTTTGGTATTCTGTAAAAATCTCAAAAAGACGCCTAACACCGAAAAATATATTGCATGTACTACATTTTATGTTTATTATGCTTCTGCTTCCATCTTCAATTTTCGTTTTTGCAATCGCCATTGTATTTTGTATATTTTGTGGTTTTTCTTTTTGAGATGGTATCCTTTTAATGTATTTACATACATGAGTTAGTTGCTGTTAACAATTTAATTGGTTTTAGACAAGTTAAAATTGTTGTTGTTCATCGTAACGCAAATTGTCGTTTCATTTCTTTTCATTTTGCTCAACACTAAATCAAAGTGTATCCAAAACTGATTCAAATGATTTTGACTACAATATAGAACATTGTTATATGGGTATGCCTTTTCCTTTTTCTTTTTCTTCTTATTTTCCTTTTCCTTTTCCATTTCCTTTTTTTGTTTTGCAAGTGAAACCTTGAAATTGTCTTAATTTCATGAAATCGTAGTTTTATGTTTGTTAAATTGTATTATTACGTTTAAAACTTTCATGTATTTGCTAAATGATTCGGGGACACCCAAGCTGAAGTAACTGATGAGGTTAGAAAAAGGATAATAAAGCTTGCAGTAGGACTTTCTCATTAATTATGCTAGGAATTGCGACAAGATAAACAGTATATGTAATGCAACTCGCAATCTATGATAGTAAAACTAATATCTAAACATATGAATACCCCTAAGTGTGGTTAAGTGAACCCAATAAAATGCAGGAATGTCCCTATTTTGGGTGTCCCTGGTGGTGTGTGTGTGTGTGTGTGTGTGTGGGAGTGGAATACCATTAGTTTTTATATATGCTAGAATATATTTTTGTTTGGTTGAGTTGCTTTCGCGTATTAGTCAAATGAACAACATTTATATTTATTTTTTTGGGCTTTTGTGGGTTCTGGTTTTTGTTTCAAAATATGCACGTCATGTGTATAATATGATGTTTGTATATAATGTATGTATATATATCTATTTATATAAGTAATAGACACCGAAAACCACGTGTACATTTATGTATCTGTATATAGATATATTCTATGTATAATATTTGGATTTCTTTGTTATATTTTTTTTTTGTTTTTCTATCCGTTTTCCGTCTTATTTGGAATTTTTTTCTTCGCTTTCGCCTGGTTGTTGTTGCTGCGCTTTAAATCTAGGTATATCAATAAATATTGTATTTAAAAATGCATTAATTTGTAATGCCAAAAGTTTTCGTTGTTGAATTTTGTAATGTAATTTTCTGTTACACGTATTTTCCTGCATGTTGTCAATGCCTTAAAAAAACTGCCTACGTGGTAAATTTGTAATATAGGTATATGTATGTATATACGAAATAAGAGTCTTAAATCCCTCCAATTTTTTTTGGCTTTAAATCAATTTTTTCTCCTACCGCCTTGCACACTCACAAAAAAATTCCAGTACTCGCTATTCAATTAAATTTCGCCTTAATTGTGATGGTGATTATTTAGCATTTTATGGTTTTAATAGTTTTCCTTTCGTTTATTTTTCATTAACATTTACTTGCACACGCACACCTAAGAAAAAATTACTTTAGCTTTACTGGTTTTCTTTGATTCTGTTAATATTGCTTTCCTTTTTTGGGTTCCTTAATTACATTAAACGTTTTGTATCTTACCGAAATGGAGTATTTATGACACATTTTGTTTTGCCCCTCCACTTGTCTTACCTTAGTTACCTAAAATTCTTTTAAGGCGCATTTTCAACTATAAACATACAAAATAGTGGGTTAACCAAGGAAGTGAAAATCGACGGATGATTTCATATCGACGGATGTGCCCGAGATGGTCAAACCATAAAGTGTTCGTTGCAAAAAACTTTATTAATAAATACTATCAGATAATAATTCCAAAATAATAAGTGTTTCCAAAAAAATTGATAATAATAAGAGTGTCATAACTGTAGTAATATTCATACAAATATTTCATTCACATACACAGCTCACAGCTTGTTGTTGTTGATATTGTTGTTGTGCTTAAAAACTTAATTTAGACTTGGAAAAATAAAAGTAAAGTAAAACAGAGTTTTTCAAGTTGAGTTCGGCATTTGTGATGTGAACATAAAAAAAATTTAAAATTACAATTTAAAAAGGTATAACTTAAAATAGTAAGATTTTACATTTTGCATTATACTTGCTGGTTTTTGTGTTTTACAAAAGGCAGTGTTTGATTTTTCTTTGTTTTTGCAGTTGCAGTGTAGTTGTGGGAAAATAAATAGTAATTCAAGAGAAATCGAGAACCGGAAGAAGGTGATTCTATAATAAGATCCACTCGAAAATTCACATCAGATTATCAATAATAATAATAATAATAATTATAAAATTAATAATAATAATAATAATAATGAACTAAAACTATAACATTTGCTAGAGGCCCTGATCTTTGACGGTTCACATACTGACACAATCGAAATTGAAAAAACTTACATATGTATCGAGAAAATAGAGTGATTTGATGTCTTTTCGCTACAACCAGGGTATATTAGTTAGGCAAAGTATGTTGCTGCTAAAAAGGCATAACTTAAGAGGTGCTGTTAATTAGTTAAACTATCACATAACATATATATTTCAAGGCAAATATATATTCGCTAAGATTGAACACTTAAGTTTGGAGAGAAATTGTAGGCAGAATTGTGTTGCTGGAGAATAAATAAATTACAAAAAATAATCGAAAATCGGGGATCCCACCATATACGATATACGATATACGATATACGATATACGATACATTGGATCCCCTTTGGATGGTAGATCTCCACATGCGCTGAATCGGCGGCTTCTAACTGTCTCTCTCTCTCTTGCTATCGCTGTCGCCCATCGCCATCTCTCTCTGTCTCTATTCTACATCCGTCCCTATCTCTAGGTCTATCGCTATCTCTATCTAACTAACTATTCTCTAGCCCTCTCCGGTTGGTAAATTAGGATTAGTTAACGCTTCGCTTTCAGCTTTCAGCTTCTATGTAATCATACGCTTTGACAATTCCTGTCTAGACTCATTTCGTTACGGGATATATTTATGTATGTATTTTTGTATAATTATTTTTTTGGGTATGTGGATCGTGTGTGGACTGCTTGTGGATTGTGTGGGCTGTTTTCGGTGTGGTTAGTTGCTTCTCTTTAATATTTAGTTAAATTATGAGGTACTTGAAACTTTTTGGCACAGTGAAAGTTTTCATTTACTTTACTTCTACCACTTTACTTTGATTTGTTCTCAGTGTTTGTTTTTTACTTTCCACTTTTTTGGTACGGCAATTCTCATTACTCTCCTTATTGCGTTAGACATTTATTAAATACAAAAAAACTTTGAATTCTACCCTTCTACGCATTTTAGTTTTCGGATTCATATCTTCATTTTTTTACACTTTAATTCGATGTTCTTGGTTCAAGGTTGTTTGTTGTTTGTTTTTTGTTTTTTGATTTTCCTGTGTGTGTGTGTGTCTGCTAAACTAAGTTAAAAATGAAGCGAATATCGGTTGAGAAATCATGTCGGGCTTTCCCTAGTTTATTGTTTTTATTGTTTAATTGCACATTTCGTTTCCAGCGGATGGACGATGCAGCAGCTGCAGGGTTGCCAGCACCGTCCAATTTCTCTATTGCTTGCCATGGTTGCCATCGCTATAAACTATTCTTGCCTGTTCAGCTTGTTTGTAGGTTAGTTAAAACTTCAATGTTGCTTTCTTGTTGTGATCACAGTTAGTTTTGTGTTGTAGTTGCAGTTTGCAGTTGCAGTTGCAGATGCAGTTTTAATTGTAATTGCTATTGGTAATTGTTAATTGTTGCTATGTTTGTTATTAGTTTTGATTTGCCTTGCTTCGCTTTGCTTTGTCTTGTATATAAATTAATCTATTGACGGTGGTAGATCCCATTCGTATCTCCTAGCTTTACAATAATCCTATAAACCAACTACGCCTCCATACTGAACATATATGTATATATGCTTGTAGATCGGTCAACCGAAAAATAAATAATGCTTGCACTTGCATCGTTGAAACATTGTTTTACATGTAGTACTTAGTGGTTGGCTTAGTTCCAGAACAGTTCCTGTACTGGAATTAACTAAAATCCCATATCGCTTATTGTTTTCTGTGGTAGGTAACAGAGTTTACTCAGTTATTGCATTGATCCTTGCAAAGTTAGTTTCTCTCGCTTGCTTGGTTTTCGTTTGTTTTGTACAAATTGTTGCTAGTTAGCTTCTATAGATCGGTGTAAAATTAAGTATATTTTATCTATTGTGTATATCAACGGCAGATCTGCGGTTCAAAGTGGTACGCATCGTACCACTGCATTTGTTTCGGTAGAAAATACAGACTATTTTGTGTTTTTAATTGGTATTGCAATGTCTGATGCTATTTGTTTGTGGCTGTTTCGTTAATGTGTTAGAAATAATTTGTCTCACAGAACCAAGTCGCATTTTCGTTCCCATCTGCACTTAATCATAGTTGTAGAAAAACTTAATCTTGTGCTACGATAATAATTGTAATCCGTAATTATAATCGTAAACCTTACTCACACATAATATTTATATTTTAGAGAGATAGGTGTATATTCAGAATCTTAAACACTTTAATACCCGTGCTAATTAGTTGCCCATAATTTTGTTTTTCTCTAGCTTGCACCAAAAAAAAAAAAAAAAATCACTTGCGAAAATATGTGTGTTACAACGATCTAATCGCAGAGCTTCTGGTAATAATAGGATATATACATAGGCTTCACTATATCCTGTATTCAGTGTGTGTGTTGTGCTGTGTGTAAGTGTGTGGGTGTGGGTGTGGGTGTGGCTGATCCTGGAGCTGGTTCCTTATCTGCGTAGGAGCCGTCTCCTACGCGCCTCATCTCAGCGCGGCGCATTGTGGATGTGGGTGGTCAGGTGCTTCGACAGGTAGTCCGCCCGAGCGAAGCACTTGCCACAGGACTCGCAATGGTACGGCCTCTCGCCGGTGTGGATCCTCAGGTGGCGGGTCAGGTCCGACTTGCCACCGAATGCCCGTCCGCAGAAGAGGCACACGAACGGCCTTTCCCCGGTGTGCTTGCGCACGTGCAGCTTCAGATTCTCCTTGGAGCGCACACACTTGCCGCAAAAGGGGCACGCAAATCGCGAGGTGGCCGGCCTGAAATCGGACATATAAGCACGTAAGTCGATTATTTTTAAATGTGTTAAAAGCCCTTCCAGTTGACCACTTCATGTTGCACATAAAGTTGTTTAGCCAAATACATTTTCTTAATCGTAACAAAATCAAGGAGATACCCTTTATAGAAACCCTTTATAGACTAAAATTACTCATCCGCCATGTGGGCCCATATTATATTCAAATAATCCCTCGCTTAGGCAAATCTCTTGGTTATCTCTAAGACATTTATACGATTAAAGAATTAATGAAGGTAATATCTACTAAAGATTTCAATATAAGAGTTTTACTTTTCTTTTGCTAATATAATTTACTAATTAATACGATTGAAGAATTTAGTAACTAATGTCTATTAAGGCAGATCCTCTACCCTTCTTAAGATTTCAATCGAACAACATTACTTATTCGCCGTGTGGTCTCCTATTTCTCTTTCTCTTTCTCGATCTTGTTACCGGACGAATGGACTCACCGCTTGTCCCTCTGCCGCTCGGCGGCGTCCACGCGCAAGAAGTTGAGTATGGAGGCCTCCTGCGGATTGAGTCCCAGGAACTGCTCGTTCGGAATGCGCTCGGCGTTGATCAGGGAGGTGAGCGAGCTGAGGGAGCTGATGCCGCCGCCCGCCGCGGAGCTGCCGGCGGAGCCAACGCTGCTGCTGCCGGGTGCACCGCTTCCGGTCGCGCCGCTTCCAGTGCCGCCGGAGGTGGCCTGCGCCTGGGCGGCGGCCACAACAGCAGCGGCAGCCGCCGAGGATGAGGAGCCGGCGGCCGAGGTGGCCACCAGTGGCAGTGAAACGTGGCCCAAGTGGGTCGGCAGCTGCGACTGCGACTGCGGATTGTGGTGCTGGTGCTGCTGCTGCTGCGCCTGGTGGTGCTGCTGATGGTGATGGTGGTGGTGGTGGTGGTGATGGTGGTGTGGGTAGGAGGGATCCGTTTCCAAGTGGTGCAGGCGCGACTGCAGCGTCAGTTGATTGGGAAATAAGCAACAAAATGGTTTTCAAATTAGTTTCTGTTCCCTTGCGATGCTTCATCAAGAAGGTGACTTCTGTATGAATGGGTTTGGACATCGAGGACAACTCACCCGCTTGTTTGTACTATGAATGCCGTCGGAGCTGCTTATGTTCGGCTCGGTGGCGCTGGTGGAGGCCGAGGCCGAGGAGTTGTTGTCCTGGTAGAGCATCGTGATGCCCGCGGAGTCGACGGTGTTGTCCTGTTCGTGCTCCTCCATGTCGTTGGGCCGCGACTCGGCGCTCTGCTCATCGGAGTTACCCTCCCGCTTCACATTCACCCGCAGATCCTCGCCCTCGTCGGCCAGCATGGGCTCCTGCGAGCTGGTGACCACATCCTGGTCCACCGACGTCACCGAGCCCGAGGCGGAAACGGAAGCGGAAGCGGGCGCCGCCACCGAAACGGAAATCGCCGAGGAAACCGGTCCCGCACCGGACCCGCCCAGTCGTCCGATCACGCCCACGCTCTTCTTGCCATGGAGCCGCTCGAGGGCGTGGTTCAAGCGATGCTTCTTGAAGCTCTTCAGGTAGCGGAACTGCATGCCGCACACGTCGCAGGTGAAGAGCTTGTCGGCCGGCAGACGAGCCCGGTGATTCTGCTCCTTGTGCTTGGCGTAGGCACTGCGATAGCGATACGACTGGCCGCACTGCTCGCAGATGAAGGGCTTCTCCTCGCCGGGACCCACGTGGGGATGTTGGAGGGCGGCGTGCTGCTCCAGCAGCCACACGTTCGGAAAGTGGGCGTTGCACACCACGCAGCGGGTCTCCTCCTCGATGGTCTCGCCGGCGATGCCCGGTCCGGCCGAACCCGTGACGCCGCCACCCGACGAGCTGAACAGCGAGGAGCACGTGTCCGAGGGACTCTTCAGCATCTGGCTGAGCTGTTGCGTCAGTAGCGGCGGCGTGGACGAGGTGGACGACGAGGAGCTCTTCTCCTTTAGATCGGAGGCACCACTACCGGCGGCGCCGGCCAGCAAGAGTTGTGTGTACTGCCTCAGGCCGGCGGCATCAACAATAACACTGCCCGATCCCGAGCCCGAACCCGAACCCGAAACCGCTCCCGAACCAGAACCAGATCCCGCGCTCGCCAGGATGGGAGTGCGCCGCTGGCGCTGCAGCAGCTGCTCCAGCGACTCCTTGTACAGCTGGGCACTGCGTTCGCTGGGCAGCTCCATGATGGTCACCTCATCGCTGTCCGCCGAGCTGCGCTTGCAGCTGTCCTCCCCAGAGTCGTTGGACATGACCGTGGTGGAGCTGGTGGCCATTTGCTGTGGCGAAGGCGACGACTTGGCACCCTTTCCCTGCTGCTGCTGCTGCTGCTGCTGCTGGTAGAAGGCGGTGGGCGTGGGGTAGCGCAGGTTGAATGACGCTCCTGCCGCCTGGCTGCCACCCAGACCACCCACCCCAGATCCTGCAGCGCCGCCGGTTTGAGGTTGCTGCGGTTGCTGTGCGTGCTTGTACTGAGTGTCGCCGGACCGGCTGGCACTCACCTGGCTGCTCGAGGAGGCGGTGGTCGCCGTCGCCGTGGCCGTGGCCATCGGCTGACCCGCACCCGGCTGGTAGTCCTTCGTCAGCAGATCGCTGAGGGTGGTGAAGCGGTGCGGAAAGTCCTTGGGCGCCGTCAACAGGCCACGTGTCCTGCGCGTGAGTAAATTACTATGTTTAATATTTAGTGATTTATATAGGTCCTTTATTCCCCGCATATTTAACTTAGCCAAATGGTTTTTAACCAGTCAAACCAGTTTATCGGTTATAACAATATTATTCGCTATGTATCCTACCCCAATCTTAATTCCTACCCTCCTTTAAGTTCAGCTTAGTTGTTTGATTTTAGTTTGCATGTAGCTGGGCATCATACTCGTATGTACATAGTTCCTTGACCAATTCGAGCCCCTGGGGATCACTCACCTGAGGGCCTCCTCTGCCAACCAGGTTTGGTGGTGCAGCAGGCTGAGGATTCTGGACGGATCGATGTCGAAGAGGCTCAGGCCGAGGGGCGAGAAGGGGAAGGCGAACGGCGTGGGGCAGCGACTGGCGGCCATGGCGCTCATCGGGGAGCTGAAGTTGCGCAGTAGCTGTGGGATCAGAAATCGGTATATATAGTCGGGTTCTGGCGGTACAATCTGTGTGCTGTTGCTTGAGCAGTGCCTATATTTGACTGCTTTTCTTTTCATTTTCCTTTGCTTTGTTTTGTTTTGGGTAAGGGGGGTCAGAAGAGTGGTGGGGCAAAGTATAGTAATCCTTAGTTCTAAGCTGCAGTGGGAGGGGCTGCTGGGCCACCTGTTCTGGGGATCGAAATCTATATGGGGTCGGGCTACGTTCACCAACTCATGCAAGGCAACTGAATACAAGGCAAGCAAACACTTAGAAGCTCACACAAAAGACATCTAGATGTGAAGAGAACAATCTGGCATTTGGTGGGCAACTCAAAGTACGGAGAGTCGAAACGAAAAGTCAATAGACAGATAGATAGATAGATAGATAGATAGATAGATAAATAAATAGATAGATAGGCAGGTAGAAGTTGAAGAAGCTGTAGGAGTAGTGGATAAATATATACTTACATAGGTGACTGCAATTACTTCGGTCATGAGTACGTTTTGGAAACAAAGGATTACTTAGGCTAGGATCGAGACTTGAGACTTAACATTAAGGAATCTCCAAAGAAAAAGTGCTGAAGCTCACCCAAAATATCTTCATTTATACCAAACATTAAATATTTGAAAGTAATGATTTATATCTTTGAGTATTTTCCATAACTTTCCAGCCCAATAATAATGGCAAATTAGAAAGTGATAAAATGATAAATTAAATGTTTATTTGTATTATAGTAGTGCCTCTTTACTATTATACAATTAAGGAAATATAACTTGACCATGGCTCGCCACGTTTATAAATTAAAACTCGCGATGGGGCAAATATTTTTCAATATTTTTATTTATTTAGAATTTTATTTCATTTTCTTCATTTCTTTTTTTTCTGTTTTCCATTTTTTAGCTCCGCCATTCATTCCTTGTTTTTTTATTTACTTTTTTCATTCTTTACTCTGCTTGTATTTGTGTGTAAGAGTGTGTGAGTGTCGCGTGTGTGTGAACAAGTTCTCGAGTTCCATTTATTTTATATCGCTTCATTCGCTCGACTATTAGAAATGTTGTTAGGCATAGACTATAGACTATATAGCTAGCTATATATGACTGATCCATCTGCTGATCCTATAGGTTTTCATGTTCTGCATGTATTTATCGCCACATTCTTTTGTTTCTCAATCTAGTTTTTTTCTTTCTTTTTTTTTAACTTGCTGTCTTGATTCCCTCTCGTTAGCCTTTCTTCAATTTTTTGACATTCTCGGGGACTTTGGGGAAATTTTTGGGGTTTTGGGGCTGCGGATAGAAATTAAAACTGCTTTTGGAGGCCATTCTCTGGTAACTTTCAGAATCTTCTTTGCCTGTTTTTTGTGTTTCTTGCAATCTTCATATTTGTATTTCGGTTTCTTGTTATAAACTATGATATGCCTTGCTTTGCTTAAATATTTTTCTTATTTTTTCCCTTCTTCTATGCTTGTAATAATTTTCATATAAATTTGTTGTTCTGGGTACGAGTGTGTGAATTTTTGTTTTTGCTTTGGTTTGCCTAAAATATGGTTTTTTGCATCGACTGTGTGTAAGTAATTGAATTCAATTTCGTTCTAAAATATTCTTCTTGATTGCTTCTATTTGTTTTTTTTTTTCATTTTTTATCATTATTTCTTGCTTACTTTTTTGTTTGGTGCCTGAAAAGCTGCTCTCATTAGTTTTTATTTCTCGAGTTCTTTTTTAGTTTTTATTCAGCATTGGGTCAACTCGAAAAATGAGTCGAGTCGAAATTTGAGTGGAGAGTTCTTGTAAGTAATTATTCTTGCTCAGTGCTTTCAGTTTTTTGCTTTAGTTCTTGTTTCGACTACGAAAAAAATATATAGTTAGCGTATATTTTTAACCTTCCCTCATTTCATTAGTAATACGTAATTATTTTTCGTTTTTTCGGGTATTTTCCATATATATCTGTTGAGTTCCCATCAAGCTCTCTTGCATGTAGAGTACAAAGTACCATATGGAACTACATATGTATGTGTATATAGTTCCAGCTCGGGTGTGTTGGTATGGGTGCTGAGTGTGTGTGTGTGAGTGTGTGTGTGTGTAAAACGATAAGTAAATGTACATGAGAGTGAAATGGTTTTAATATATTTTTATTTCGCTTTTGATGGTTTCTTCATTTGCTTTTATTAGCCACAAAATATCAAAAACTTATGTCGAATTATAAAAAAAATAAATGAAAACTAAATTGTATCGATTGGAACTTAAATTGCAGTTTATAGTTCTATATGTGTGTATATATAATTTGCATTATTTTAGAGTCATTTTAAGTTTACGTTCGCTCAATAAATAATGGGAAATTGCTTAACTTAGGATAATGTTGATGAAAATGGTTGAATAAAACTTAAGCGGGTGATTATTTAAGGTTTAGTTTTAGTTTTAGTTAGTCGCTGCTGCTCTTAGTGAATTTTTCGGCCGCGGCCTTAAATTAATTATTGTATAATTCTTCCATCGCATTCTCGTATTTTTTTTTTGCTTTTTGTTTTGTTTTGTTTTGTTGCTTTTCTGTGTGGTGTGTTTACAGTTAGTTAAGAATATATATTTATATAAATTATTTATGTATCTTGTATGTCTATATTGTAGGAACATATTGACGTAATCATAACGTATTGCAGCTATTTGTTCATCCTCTTAATTCGGTTATTGTTTATTGTTTAAACTTTTCTTCGGATATCGGTTTGTTGTGAACTTCATGTTTTTTGTTTTGTTTTTGTCAGTGTGGTTTTTAAACCGCCCTACTCTGTTTATTAACCCTCATGTTAGGCAGTTCCTTTTGCATTTGGAAAAACAGCTCATAGATCCCAGATATTTTCGGTGGAAAATCCCCCTTTGGAATGCTTTCAAGTCGTTAGCTGTTTTCCCATGCGTTTATTGATTTATGTTCAATAACTTAGAGGAAAATATTTGTAAAAAAAAGTCTAAAAACAAACAAATAATAAGTGTTAAAAAATTATTCGTAAAATTATTTATGAATGAGCCTCAATAGGGAACTTACAAAAATTTTCTCAACCGTCGTTTACTAAAACTATTAATTTGCTACCCATTCTTCAACTTGTCAACTTTCTTCGTGTGTGCTGCTATTTTGTATTATATTTCATATAATTATTTTGGATGCTTGGCTTGAATTCTTAATTCAAGATCAATTGGAACGAAAACAACTACGTTGAAAATAATTATTTTGCTTTTCCATATGCTTGAAAAATTATCGAGGAAGGTTAAAAATGTATTTCATTCATTTTGCTTATGTCGAAAATATGGTTTTTCTTCTCTTTTGGGTTTTTTAAATTTATTAAATATGTTTACATTGTTTTGTTCTGGTGTTTTCTTTTCTCGCAGTGAAAATAGTAGTATTCTCTTTCATTACTAAAAACTAGTTTAATTTTTTGATAAATTGGTTTCTTGTGTGTCTGTGCTTGTGTGGCTTTTCCATTCATTTCTTATCATTCCAAACCTTTTCTTTACTTTATTTTGTTTTTGTTTTTGTTTTTGGGGATATGCAAAACTACTTTGTTGTTGTTTCTACTTTGTTTTCTCGATTTGGTTGAGTGAGTGAGTGTGTGTGTGTAGTATAACTAACTGCCTAAAATTCGCAAATTTGCCTTGCAGTTTTCTAATAGTTTTTCATTTTCATTTTCGATTTCATGTGTTTTCGCCATTCGTTAGAAACTAATTTCTTTTTTTACATGCCGTAAGTACTTTTTGTATAAATGTGGGTGTGGCTTGTATGTGTGTGAGATATACTAATGTATAGGTGTGTATGTATAATTAGTTTTATATATATATGTATATATAGATCTCAATGCCTCCCATTGCTCGCTAAAAAAATAACTATCAAAAAAACTGCAATTTCCATTTTTGACTTCCTTGTTCTTGTTGTTTTTTTGTTGTCTTTTTTTTTAGGTTTTTGCTCGGCGCGTTTTTATAAAATATTACTTTAGTATGTATAATGTATATATGTATTGTATATATATATATTTTTTTTTTGGTTTTCGACTTTTTATTTTATTTTTATTCTGTTTTTAGTTTTGTTTTTTTCTTTTCTCTTGTTTAAAGGGGATTAGGCACTACAGTGTTGTTTTTTTCTCTCTTTCCTCTTTTTTAACATTTCTGTCGTTTTCTTTTTGTGTTTCCATGCTAATTTCCAAAAAATTGATCAGCTTTCAGCCTCCATTT